ACGTACATACGTATGTATGTATGTATGTACGTATGTATGTATGTACGTATGTATGCATGTATGTATGTATGTATGTATGTGCTACAACAATGTGTCTTGTGGAGGTTATCTCTTGTTTCCTGTTTAGTATCGGGTTCCTTCACCTGAAGTCTTTTCATCTCTTCTTCTCTTTCACTCCCAGTTTAGTGGCATTATCACCTTGTTTGGGGCGAAATGAATATATGCATGTGTGTGTGCGTGCGTACGCGCGTGCGTGTGTGTGGTCAAAAGAAATTAACGACTCTGTTGTCGGACGCAATTTCAGAGTGTGCGTTTCTTCCCTCTTCACCGGTTTCTTGGTATTTATCGTCGTTCTCTGTCTTGTATCCGCTTCGTTCGTTCGTTCTGCACAACTGCACGATTCGTACGATGTACCCCGACAGCAGAACTCACTCTTTTCCCCAAGATGGTCTCGTTTGACGGAACGAGACACTCGCCTTCTCTCAAGTCCTACATGCCATACCCAGACCAACTCTCTCACTTCGAGACGCCAAAAAAAAAATGTCTTTCACCGCTTCCGCCATCGACTCTGGTTCGGGTTCACTACGTCTGCTTCAATATATATATATATATATATATATATATATATATATATATAATATAGAGAGAGATAATATTAGTGGTCAATATATATATATATATATATAATAATAATAATAATAATAATAATAATAATAATAATAATGGCCTCTCCCGTCGGTTTCGACGTATGAGGATCTGCCAGCTTATTGATTCAGTTATGAAAGTTTATGCACTAATCTTAAGTGACATTTATGACCCGCTAGTGATTTACAAAGGAGGTCGCATATGGAGCAAGTGCGAGGATTGTGAGATGAGATCACTGTTCGATTGATTGACTTTTTAGATCTTTCTCTCGCTTCAAATATATATATATATAAATTCCCAAAGGGATAGAATCCAGGTAGAACTCAATGTCCAGGACAGAGTAAAAATATAATATAAAAGGCCCAAACACTAATATTCCATAGTTATAATTTATCACATTGGAATCGTCATCACGATCCAAATCATCATCAGACCTACAAATTCAAAAAGAAATCGGAATATTAGTGTTTGAGCCTCATATATATATATATATATATATATATATATATATATATATATATATATAGGATGTAAAAAATATTTTACAAACTTTGGGGGCGGATTCCTCACACCAAAACAAGGACAAAAGCCCATATAAACAGATGTTCTCAAATCATTCGTTTTTGAGTTATTATGTTTAAAGTTTACTGTAGACGTTTTTAAATGCACAATCCAAGATAGAATCGAAAAATACTTCTAGAATCTTTGAGGGCGGGTTCCTGACATCAGAAACAAGTTCAAATGTCCAAAAGGCCATCGTTGTAATGCAAAACCGCAACTAATAAAAATGTTCAAAATTGCTTGCTTCTACACACGCATTCACCCGTCGGATCAATGAGTGGCGGAATGTTTCAAAATACTCCCACACGGTGTCAAATGTTTTCGCAGCTCCCCATGATGCATTGATGAAGCTTCTCTGCATTTTGAATGTATAAAGCCATTGTTTTAGGTTAACCCACAGATAAAATCTAAAGGATCGAGCTTGTGGGAACATGTAGGACATGGAACCGGTCCTCCCCTACCTATCCATCTTTCATGGTAGATGTCAGTCAGTGCATTTCGAACAATATGACTACAACAATATGTAATCCCATTATACATGAACCACATGCGTCTTCGTATTAGCATGGGTATATCATCTAGTTACTCTTCAAGTGTGTTCGAAACAAAATGTGGGGCCATGGGTCCTATTTCAGCAATGTATCGATAAACAGCAGCAACTCAAAATAATTAAGGATTTGCGCACATATAACTTTGCAGACGTTTGTCCCTGTTTCGTTGTGAGGAAGTCGCCCCAAATTTAGTAAAAGTATTTTGATACACCCTATATATATATATATATATATATATATATATATATATAAAAAGTTTCAGGTGTCAAATTCATTGTTGGTTGCATCAACATTGTTAGACTTTTTTGTAGCACACACACACATACATATATATATATATATATATATATATATATATATATATATATATATATATACTTCCAAATGTGCTGAGAATGAAAATAATATAAATTCTATCGTTCGCAGCATTAATTCAAAAGAAGGTTCAATACCAAGAGTAGGGCAATAATTATTTATTATAAATTTTACATATGGATATATATATATATATATATATATATATATATATATATATATATATATGTGTGTGTGTGTGTGTGTGTGTGTGTGTGTGTGTGTGTGTATATACATGCGCACACACACATATATATATATGCAAGATCAATATATATATATATATATAAATCACGTGCAAGATCAAAATTCAAAGGACAAATATTATTTATTAATTCACATGCTCCTTAAGGAACAGTGTTCATGGGTAAACCAAATTCACGAATCATTATATTGGCATTAATAATAAAAAGAAAAAAACCATCACTCAATGATATCAACTATGAACACGGCCACAAAGTGCTGACCGTGTTTGGAAAATTAAAAAACTTTCCCATCGCTATAGATTCACATATACAACAATCTAAATATTGAGTTAATTTTTTTTTAAATTATTAATAATGGCTAATAGAATAGCCGAAAGTGCTATGATATACAGAATATTTGGACAGTTTTTAGACATTTTGCGTCCAGAAAAGAAAACACTTATACAAACGTAAGAAAATTGAATTAAAAGCTTAATCGCTGTACCTTGTGAGTCGTATTCAACGAAACTTGTGTAAAAGAGGGATTGTTGCCCAAATAGACAAATACACACACACACACACACACATATATATATATATATATATATGTGTGTGTGTGTGTGTGTATGTATTCAGACAGGTTTCGTTAAATATTTTACACACATTCTGTCTATTTATTTTCGTTAAAATTCTTTCATATTCGTGAATTAGCTTTATTGTGCGGTTGTTAAAAGACGAGAGGAAAACACCGTGTTGACTCATATTGTATTTATTCCGAGTACTTTCGACATAGCATAATGTCATCATCAGAGTATTGTTAAATATAGAGGAAGTATTTAGTATCCGTGGTTGTGAAGGACAGAATTTGTTGTGGCTGGTTGACAGACACCGTTTTTAAGGGGAGGTAACTAGGTATGCTGTAGAAACGCTCCGGGCTTAAGTAGTTGCTAGATAAAGGAAAGGAATATCTTCATTCATTTATGTCTCATAGAATAATGTAGACATATTATGTTTATTTATTTTTATAATAATTTTTTCTAGTTGTCTAATTATCTTCTTGATGTTAAGTTGTAAATTTTGAACAGAATTACTTCCGAACTCCTCTGAGATCGTCCTCCGGGCTGAATTGCAAAGACTAACTTAATGTAATCGTTGTGATGGTGATTTTATTGAATAAATTTACTCTTCAAGTGTATTTCAAGATATTTTGTGCAATTTTGGTAAATTTCTCTGTTAAGATGCAAGTGTTATTTTCATTTTTGCATAGTTTAGATGAAAATTTATCCATTGCACCCTGTATTTTAAAGTTAACCATTCTAATAGCTACGTTTTTTTTGTTTTTAAATAGACATAATTTGTCTATATTATTCAATTATATATATATATATATATATATATATATATATATATATATATATATATATATTGACGATTGCGTATAAACATGAAACTGACTGTCGCCGCTGGGTGATAACTTCAGTATTCACTTTACATACGCTCTATCCCTAATATTGAGCACTTCAACCCATAAATACAACATACCTTAAAACTGTTGAATAGTGGACGAACATGTCCGTCTACGAAATTCTGGAGTCGGGATGCTGAAGCTAACATCAATCGGGTACGTCACAAACTTTTGCTCATATCAATTTTATATATATATATATATATATATATAGTAAATATAAAAAATCGGTTGGTATATAATCCAAGTGGTTCCTAGTAATATGAAAATATTGGAACTAATCTACAAAAAATTTTATTTTATATAGAGCATTATATATATATATATATATATATATATATATATATATATATATATATATATATATATATATATATATATAGTTAAGTTACAAAGAACTTGGTAAACCGAATGGGTAATTCCAAGGAGGATGAAATCCTGAGAGCTCAATGTGAATCCAGAGCTAATATTTAATGAAAAAACAGACCACTTTAAGGTACCATTACAATAATTTTATTTCACCAAAATCCTTTTTGAAGGACTCCGGCTGATCCGGAGTCCTTCAAAAGGATTTTGGTGAAATAAATTTTTCATTTTATATATATATATATATATATATATGTGTGTGTATGTATGTATATGAAGAAATATAGTCTTAAGATGTGCTATATTTATGGGATAAAGTACTCAATATCAGAGATAGAGCGTGTGTAAATATAAAAGTGAACATAGAAGTCAACACTTAGAGGCGACAGTCTGTTTCATGCTAGATGCAATCGTCAGGCCACGAGTGCTCTGATGATTGCATCTTGCATGAAACAGACTGTCGCCTCTAAAATGTTGATTTCTATGTTCACTTTATATATATATTTTACCTCGTATATGGAATAGGCTATTTCGCCAGATTATTCATTATATATATATATATATATATATATATATATATATATATATATATATATTATTAATTCAAACAATTTTTCACTGATCTGATAGATGTTATATTCAGCATACGTAGTAAAAAAAATCAAAAGATTTGTTTCACCTAGCTACTTATAATAAGCAAGAACTTAGAAATCTCTCTGGTATACTTAAAGTGTGTTAAGCGTGTATGTAATACAAAGTTCGGGTCGTCCACGGACCTCAGCGTCTATTTATAAACGCCATTTGCATCGATTGCTGTAGCTGTTATATTTGTAAAATTGTCACTTCCCTGCCACACATATTTCCGAGAGAATCATGCGCGGCAAACGAAAACTGGTCAAATCACACGCATTTCCATTGTGGTTGCTAACCCAAACAGTGCAATACGTGTGATCAGTTCAGAGCTTGTCTGTACACGCCACACGAGCACCAATCCCTGCTCGTGGGAACAAATAGAAGACCAATCGTATAATTTCGAATAAGCGTGTGAGATGTCGATTTTCAACGACAACAACTGCTTAGATTCTTATGGGAACGCGTAACGATGGCGCCACTTCATACTCCAAATAGAAATGCAATTATTCTTATTCAAAGAATGCTTACGATCTTTCCATATAGTTTCTTTCTCTTCGTCTTTCTTTTCTTTCTCTTTGTCTTTCTTTTCTTTCTCTTCGTCTTTCTTTTCTTTCTTTCTTTTTAAACATTATTCTTTTTTTTTTCTTGCATCTTCCTCTTCGATTTTATCTTTTCTTCTTCGTCCGCCATGATTTTTATTTTCTTATCTGCACTTGTTTTTTCTTTCTATCTTTTACATCCTTTTTATTCTTTCTTTCTTTTTTCCTTGCGTCCATTTTTATTCTTTCTTTTTTATTTCCCTCCGTTGAATTCTCATTTAGTGCTTTTTCTTTCTTTCATTTATTCTAAATCTCTTTCGTTCTTCATTTCTCCAGTCACACTTTTCCACTTTTTCTTTTCTTCCTTTCCCTCCTTGATTGTAACTTCTCCTCTTCTATGATTATTTAATTCCTTCCCGTTTTTCTTTCTTTCCCTCTTTTTTATTCTCTTTTCTTCTTTTTTTTAATTCTTTCTTTTTTTCCTTTCTTTTTTTAGATTCCTTCATCCTTTTTTCTTCTATTTCGTTTTTATTTTCGTTCGCATTCTCTCTCCTTCTCGTTCGCATTCTCTCTCCTTCTCGTTCGCATTCTCTTTCCTTCTCGTTCGTAAAATCTCTCTTTCCTTCTCGATCGTCTTCTCTCTCCTTCTCGTTCGTATTCTCTCTCTTTCTCGTTCGCATTCTCTCTCCTTCTCGTTCGCATTCTCTCTCCTTCTCGTTCGCATTCTCTTTCCTTCTCGTTCGTAAAATCTCTCTTTCCTTCTCGTTCGTCTTCTCTCTCTTTCTCGTTCACAGTCTCTCTTCTTCTCGTTCGCATTTTCTCTCCTCGTTCGCCTTCTCTCTCTTTCTCGTCTGTATTCTCTCTCCTTCTCGTTCGCATTCTCTCTCCTTCTCGTTCGTAATCTCTCTCTCTCTCCTTCTCGTTCGCATTTTCTCACCTTCTCGTTCGCCTTCTCTCTCCTTCTCGTTCGCATTCTCTCTCCTTCTCGTTCGCATTCTCTTTCTTTCTCGTTTGTATTCTCTCTCCTTCTCGTTCGTATTCTCTCTCCTTCTAGTTCACATTCTCTCTCTTTCCAGTTCGCATTCTCTCTCCTTCTCGTTCGCTTTCTCTCTCCTTCTCGTTCGTATTCTCTCTCTCTCTCCTTCTCGTTCGCATTCGCTCTCCTTCCCGTTCGCATTCTCTCTCTCTCCTTCTCGTTCGCATTCTCTTTCCTTCTCGTACGTATTCTCTGTCCTTCTCTTTGTATTCTCTCTCCTTCTCGTTCGCATTCTCTCTCTCTCCTTCTCGTTCGCATTCTCTTTCCTTCTCGTACGTATTCTCTGTCCTTCTCTTTGTATTCTCTCTCCTTCTCGTTCGCATTCTCTCTCCTTCTCGTTCGTAATTTCTCTCTCTCCTTCTCGTTCGTATTCTCTTTCCTTCTCGTTCGCATTCTCTGTCATTCTCGTTCGCATTCTCTCTCCTTCCAGTTCGCATTCTCTCTCCTCCTCGTTCGCATTCTCTCTCCTTCTCGTACGTATTCTCTGTCCTTCTCTTTGTATTCTCTCCTCGTTCGCATTCTCTCTCCTTCTCGTTCGTATTCTCTCTCCTTCTCGTTCGCATTCTCTGTCCTTCTCGTTCGCATTCTCTCTCCTCTTGTTCGTAATTTCTCTCTCTCCTTCTCGTTCGTTATCTCTCTCCTGCTCGTTCGTATTCTTTCTCCTGCTCCTTCGCAATCTCTCTCATTTTCTCTTTCTCTTATAATTCTTTCTTCCATTCCTCTATTTTTATCCTCTTCTTTTTTTATTCTCCTTTTTTTCAAATATGTCTCTCTTTTTCTTTTTCTCATTATCTCTATTGCAAAATTTCTCCGTTTCTTCCTCTCTATACCCTTCTCTCTATCTCACTATATTCTTCAAGTCTCTCTCTCGTTTGCTCTCAGCTCCCCCCTCATTTATCTCTCTTTCTCTCTCTCTCTTTCTCTCTCTCTCTTCGTTAAATTTGAGGAGGAGGAAATTGCGAAAAGGGAAAAATGTTCCAGTAGAAAGAGAATGAAAGACAAACTAAATCGTGAAAAGAAAGAAAGAAAAACCGATAAAGAACTAGAGACAAAATTGAACGAGAGGAAGAAAGTTAAGAACGTTTGAACGATACAAAAAAAATGAGAAAAAAATGAAAAACGAAAAACAGAAACGACAGACGGCGGATTGATATTGACCCACCATATTGCAACAATGGCTGAAGCTGATATAAAATCATTTTTAATGTGAAAGGCCGTGCACCTCCCCGTCAAGGCATACACGACCCAAGGTTGAATCATTCTCTTGGCCAAAGCTGCAAGATTCAAGTCCTGCTTCTTTGCCTCCTTCCACCTCTGTTAGTACAAGGGTCAGGCCAGTTTAGGAAATGCACCCGCGATCATCAGGCGTCTGTTAATCATTCATAGTGTTTTCAGGCACCGAAGGGCGGGAAAATAGAATTGGGGCGGAAGGAGAGTCACTTGAATAAACTCAATCATGGCTTTAGAATGTAGGAAAAATAATTATTGGATTATTTGGAAAAAATGTTTAAATCGAAAATATTATTCACAAATAAGCGTTAGCTTTCATCTTAAATCTTTTTAGTTATTTTTATTTAAGCATCTTTACATGTTTTTTAAACATCTTTTACAGCTTTTCATTTCTTAAACATCTTTTGCATCTTTTTTATCATCTTTACAACTTTTTATCGTTACATCTTTTTTAAACCCCTTTTATCATCTTTACATCTTTTTAAACACCTTTTGCTCATTTTTTTCATCTATACATCTTTTTTAATCATCTTTTTAAGCATCTTTACATCGTTTTTTAAAGACAATAGAACCCATAATATATTTTATTCATAAAAGCAATTAAAAGTTTTCTAATTTAAAAAAATGTCTTAATTTTTGTTTTGTATTTTTTATTTTACAATTCAGGACAAACTTTCTACAACTAGGGGTGCCGTTTGACAAAAAAAGTGGTTTAAATTCTCCGAGGACTAGTCCTTATAACAAATATAAACATTATGCGATACAAAAAAGAATTTCTTGAACATTCATAAAATTAAAAGGGTTGAAGTGAACAGATAAAAAAAAAATAAAAAATCATTTTTACCAAACTTTTCTAAAAAGGAAACATCTCAAAAATAATTTCATTCATTTCTAAATAAACCTTGAAAATTTCTGACAATTATCTGAAATTTAAAAGAATTTCCAAATAAATATTTTTCCAGTACAAATTGAAGATTACGTTTTGATGCCAACAAAACAAGATTTTTAACCAATATTTCCAGAATTCTATAGAGAATAAAAAATACTTCTCTATGGCACAAATATTTTGATAGTTCCTCTTCATAAGGACACAATGATTTTATCGATAAAATCTTATTTTTATTATGTCTTGGTCATTTTTTCATCATCCATCCTCTTTTTCACAGGTTTTGGAGGTATCCATATGGGATCATTTTTTTTTATATATACGGTTGGATATGCGAAAGTGCGAATGAAAAAAGTAATTATGAAAGAAAATAAACAAAAGAAGAAGTTATTATCCTGAAATGAAATTTGATGTGTCATTCAGAAAGCCAATCGGTCCGCATATGGCTTGCGAACCACAGTTTGCCCATAACTGCTCGGGAACAAGACTGCAAGACCTCTCTCCGTATGTATGTATGTATGTATGTATGTATGTACACACACACACACACACACACACACACACACACACACACACACACACACACACACACACAGATAGATAGATAGATAGATAGATAGATAGATAGATAGATAGATAGATAGATAGATACGAAGAGAGGGCTTGGTGTCTAATACATGCATATATATATATATATATATATATATATATATATATATATAAATAAAAACATACCACTTTAAGGTTCCATGTAATAAATTATTTCACCACAGCCCTTTTTAAAAGGACTGCGGATCATCAGACTTTACTTCTAAAGGTTGAAGTAACGTCTGATGATCCGCAGTCCTTTAAAAGGCTGTGGTGAAATAATTTATTACATGGAACCTTAAAGTGGTCTGTTTTTTATTTAAATTATTTGCTCTGAATTTACATTGAGCTCTCTGGATTTTATCCTCCTTAGGTTTACCCATACGGATTTCCTAGTTTTTTCATAAACTATATATATATATATATATATATATATATATATATATATATATATATATATATATTTTTATTAAATAATATAGACAAGTGTTGTCTATTTATTTTATGTAAATTATTTTCATAACGTCTGATAAGCTTAATAACATTACCATTAAACGAAGAAAGAAAATCACAATACAGATCCATATTTTTAAAACCAATCTAAGCATTCGGCTTACATAAGCCATTATCAAAGATGACTATTACTGTACAATATATTAAGCAATGCACGGACAAGAATGTGATGATAGTCTGTTTCTGTTTAGTATAGCCAACTCAATAATTTGCAATGATTCTTATCCCCTGGTTAGCGATTTGCAAAAAACCAACAGAGTTTACAAATTCAAGTACCCCTTGGGAGATTGTATCTCCAACGAATTAAATTATATTTATGTTGGTCACACCACAAACTCGCTTTTACGACGATTGACACTACATTTGAATGAAAACTCTAACATTTTTAGGCATTTAAAACAACATGCCTGGCTGAACACACAATTCCGTAAAATCCTTGTTGAAAACACAATTATACATAAACATGAAAACAATAGACAAAAACTAAAAATTCTTGAAGCTATATACATAAAACAGTTGAAACCTAACCCGAACAAAATTAACTATGAAATCTCCACAAATAACCTTAAATGTCTATAATTGGTAACAAAAGCCATTGCTTTATACCAACGGCTTCCCATACTTAATACTTTTCGAATTCACTCTCGCGTGGTCATGTGTGACGTCATGAGCTGCGGTGCGATTTTCGCTTCTAGCGTCTTATATGCACGTGTTTATCGTTGCTTAGAAATCATCCATGTAAACAGAAACAGACTATCATCACATTCTTGTCCGTGTATTGCTTAATATATTGTACAGTAATTGTCATCTTTGATGAAAGCTTAAATTCGATTAAAAAATATGGATCAATATTGTGATTTTCTTTCTTCGTTTAATGATAATGTTATTAAACTTATCAGACGTTATGAAAAGAATGTCTATATTATTTAATGAAACATGTATGAATGAAGAAATGCTGCCTAAATACACACATATATATATATATATATATATATATATATATATATATTAGATGGCCACTCGTATTCCAGGATACCCGTCTACTTGGCCGGCTAGTCAATCCCTATTGCAGACGCGCGCTCAGGCACATTTATGTTTGCTCAACACCCACAGAGCTCACCTTTGGTTTATACTGCAAGTATTATCTGGCGTGATCAACAATTTGAACAAGGCCAGCACATTCAAAACCTCGGTTTCGGTGTGGCACACTTGGAATGACCCCCCTCCAGACTGATATATGTACAATTATTTGTCCTTGACCACCTATAGTATGTATCAGTCTGTTCATATCTATCTATCTGTGGGTGTGCAATGGTTAGCGATTTGGAACGCGAAATCAGAGAGCCAATTTCGAATTCTAGTTATTCGTTGCTTTCCCTTTCGCGTAAAATCTTAGAGAAATTATGAAGCCATCTCTTCTCTCCCGCCACCATGAGCAAGCTGAGATAGATAGATAGATAGATAGATAGATAGATAGATAGATAGATCATGAGCAAGCTGAGATAGATAGCTAGAGAAATAGATAGAATTGTGTTATGGTTGTCTCAGAACTCGTATCGACAAAACCTAATATATTCCATGAACTCCTTATCAAGAGGAAGAATTTTTTTGCATTTAAGTTGATGTACTTTTTACTTTTTTTAGTTTTTTTCCAACGTGACGTAAAAAAAAATTTCGTGTAGAAATTTTTTCAGTTAAATAATCATTATATTTTCAAAAATTATTTTCTACTGCAAAAAGTCTTCGCTTGCGTCTGTTATAAATGATGCCACATTCAGCTACCAAGTTGCCTTTTAACAGCCCAAAGCTTCTTAATTTAAAATTGACATTTTTCTTGTCATAATTTAATTTAATCAATTTAACTTATTTTAGCTTATTTTAAAAATTAACCGCCTCGCTCAAAAATCATAAACAGCAAAATAATTAAAAGCGCCCGGTTATCAAAAGTCGTCCTTTTTATAATGTATATCTGTCTTCGCTAATAATGACGACATTTAAGGACAAATAATTTGACTAATTCATTATTATTCTGTCTCAAAAATGCGTCATTACTTTCCGAAAATTTTTCCTTTCAAAATTTATTTGCAAAGAATAGTCTTCTTTTTCAAATTCACGTCTTTCATTAAGGTGCCTTTACAAAGAGTTATTTTTTAGCGACTTCAAGATTTCTAAAAATTTCCAACCAACCAGATCACTAGAAACATCTTTTGAGGAAAAAAATGAAACTTTTAAAATAAGAAACGGTATAAGAATTCGTTAAATCCAAAAGGTTTTTTTTTTTTTTTTTTTTGGTGGAGGTGTGAGCGAGAAATAAAGAGAAAGGTTCCAAAATGCTAAATGTATGTACTTGAGCCTCTGTTCGCTTTTTTCAAATTCTTAATGTCTACAAAAAATTCTAAATCTAAAACTAATATGCATAGCGAGGTCAAATAAAGTGTTTGATGGGATTATAGGTTCGCACAGATTAAGAGGTCACGAGGTTAGAAATAGCAAATCAACTTATTTACTCTCTCGTTGTTTCAATACAAGAGAACTAACTTAATCTCTTTCTTCCGTCGTTCTTTCAATTATTCCTTCTCATCTATCTATCTATCTATCTATCTATCTATCTATCTATCTATCTATCGTAGTCTGTTCATATCTATCTACCGCATTCTCATTCTAATCTATCTATCTATCTATCTATCTATCTATCTATCTATCTATCTATCGTAGTCTGTTCATATCTATCTACCGCATTCTCATTCTAATCTATCTATCTATCTATCTATCTATCTATCTATCTATCTATCTATCCATCGTAGTCTGTTCATATCTATCTACCGCACTCTCATTCTAATCTATCTATCTATCTATCTATCTATCTATCTATCTATCTATCTATCTATCTATCATAGTCTGTTCATATCTATCTACCGCACTCTCATTCTAATCTATCTATCTATCTATCTATCTATCTATCTATCTATCTATCTATCTATCTATCGTAGTCTGTTCATATCTATCTACCGCACTCTCATTCTAATCTATCTATCTATCTATCTATCTATCTATCTATCTATCTATCTATCTATCTATCTATCTATCTATCGTAGTCTGTTCATATCTATCTACCGCACTCTCATTCTAATCTATCTATCTATCTATCTATCTATCTATCTATCTATCTATCTATCTATCTTTCATCTATCTATCTATCGTAGTCTGTTCATATCTATCTACCGCACTCTCATTCTAATCTATCTATCTATCTATCTATCCATCTATCTATCTATCTATCTATCTATCTATCTATCTATCTATCGTAGTCTGTTCACATTCATTCACCGCACTCTCATTCTAATCTATCTATCTATCTATCTATCTATCTATCTATCTATCTATCTATCTATCTATCTATCGTAGTCTGTTCATATCATCTACCGCACTCTCATTCTAATCTATCTATCTATCTATCTATCTATCTATCATCTATCTATCTATCTATCTATCTATCTATCGTAGTATGTTCACATTCATCTACCGCACACTCATTCTAATCTATCTATCTATCTATCTATCTATCTATTCATCTATCTATCTATCTATCTATCTATCTATCGTAGTCTGTTCATATCTATCTATGGCACTCTCATTTCTATCTATCTATCTATCTATCTATCTATCTATCTATCTATCTATCTATCTATCTATCTCCGTCTGTTCATATCTATCTATGGCACTGTTCATATCTATCTCATTCTACTATTTCTCGCACTCTCTGTCTCTCTGTCTCTGTCTGTCTGTCTGTCTGTCTCTCTCTCTCTCTCTCTCTATCTATCTATCTATCTATCTATCTAATACTTCTCGTATTCTATTTCATTTTACTCATATCTATTATTTTTGTACCTATCTATCTCGGTCTGTTCATATCTATCTATGGCAATCTGTTCATATATATCTCATTCTACTCATATCTATCTATCTATCTATCTATCTATCTATCTATCTATCTATCTCATTCTTCTCGTATCTATCTATTTCATTTTACTCATATCTATCTATCTATCTATCTATCTATCTATCTATCTATCTATCTATCTCATTCTACTTATCTATCTATCTATCTATCTATCTATCTCAGCTTGCTCATGATCTATCTATCTATCCCAGTATCTACGTATACATATATATCTATCTGGTAGAGCTTATCCTTTTTATATCTGTTTTAATCTGTGCAGATATTTTATTTCTGTTCTTCAATCGACCTCGTGTTTTTCTTATTAATCACAGTCTATCCATAGCTGTCTGTCCAAGTGCTTGTCTTTCCAACAAAATCTATTCTCCATCCCTTCAGTAGAAAACAAAAGGCCTTTTTATTATTTTTAACTTTTAGATTAGAACTCATTTTTATACCGTCTTAAAAAAAAAAAAACCTTAGATTCTCAGAGAAGCCAATTACACAAAAATGTTTGATTTTTACTATAATCTGTGTGTTCTTTATTTTTGTGTTGTTGTTTGTTTACCATCGGAAAGTCAACTCATGGCATAAAGGGACGGGGACAAAAACGCGGAAGAGAACTATAGGAAACACATGCAATTGAAAGAATTCCAAGAACTAGAATCTGGACATGGAATCAAACCCGAAAAGATAGAAAAATATTTTAAAAAATTGTGTGTCAACAGAAGATGAAAGCTGACGGAATTTCATGAGCACGGCAAAAAGAAAAAAGAAAAAAGAAAACGTCCTTTTGTAAACAAAACGGAAACCACAATATTCACATTAGAGAGGGAAAGGATAGATAGATAGATAGATAGATAGATAGATAGATAGATAGATAGATAGATTAAGAGACTGAGGCACAGGGAGAGAGATATTGAAAAGACTGGGATAGATAGATAGATAGATAGATAGATAGATAGATAGATAGATAGATAGATAGATTGGAAGTCTAATTCAAAACGCTCAGTCTTTGTGCGCATGAGCGAATGGAAAATTGCGTCCGTGAACACGTGACACCAACGATGACTTTACAAATTTAAACATAACGACGCGATATCCTTGATAATGAAATGCAAAGTTTAAAGTCGGTAACCTTCAAAAATTCATTAAAAAAGAGCATATCATGATGTAAAAAAAAACCCTCAAATTTGATAAAAACAAACTTTTATCGTCAAAATGATTATGTTATTATTAAAAGGAAACACCAAAGTAATTTTCTGATTGTTTTATTAAATTTTTTTTATCCTTTCTATCACGTCCGAAATTTTGGATAAAAATCTTGTTTATCAGTTTGTCTTGTTTGTCAGTGAGGGCGGCAAATGGGAAATTTAGCGTCTTTTTGTGGTAAAAAACATATTGCTTTGGAAAATCTTACAAAAATCAAATAATTATCGGATTTTAATTAAATTTTCGTGAATTCTTCACAAATAAATTAAATTATTTCAATTTTTTTAGAAAATCTTGATAATATATATATATATATATATATATATATATATATATATATATATATATATATATATACATGTCATCTGTTACCCCACTTAATTTTATGAAAGTTCGACAATTTAAAACTCTACCCTCTTGATATTTATATTAGTTAAAAGCAAGAGTCCTTGGAGAATTTAGATCATAAATTTACTCTTTGTCAAACAGATAACATCATTTACCAAAAATCTCTGAATCGTAAAATAAAAAATGCAATAAAACTATGACATTATTTGATTAAAATAGATTTAAAATTGGTTTTACGGATATTTATTGAGGACACGAATGTGTTAAGAAAAAGAAATTGATGAATAATCAATTTTTACAAGAATTGTTTCATTTTTTATTTTTATTAGAATAATTTAAGTTTTAAATATTTTAAAATACCTTATTAATTCAACTGTTTTAGATGATATTATTATTATGCAAAAACTATATTTACTAATCATAAATGAAAAAAACTTAGTACTAATCATCAAATACCAATATCTTATACCGAATTTAAAATTTTTTATATGTGTATAAACGTGTCGATTTTTGTAGATATGGACGTTCATACATGATATTAAAAAATAAGACCGGTAACTATAGTAAAATGAAATTCAACATTTCTCAAATTCAATAAACAATTAGATTACAGAAAATATGTTCTTACATTTTTAAGATTGCGAAAAGTACTTAAAAGTTATATATAAAAGCCGCTCACGTTATATTCAAATATTTTTACGGCTAAAGCCCCCATAGAAGGCCAGTAGACAAACAATCATATGTGCAGGAAGCTGTAAAAGCCGTGAGCAGCTTAAATAAACGGCTACCGCTGTGTCAAATATTGTATTCCTGTTATATTTTAAACTTAAATATTTGTTTCAAATCAGATTAATTATTCTTTAAATCTGCTAATATTCCTCAAGTTTCAGTAAAGTATGTTTTATTTTTGAAAGATTTCTTAATAAAGAGAATTACATTGCCATGAAAGACGACAAAAAAAAAACGGAAGCTAATCAGCTATTTTAGAAAAAACAAATCGTTCCATTTAATTGAAATTAGTTTTTGAAACTGTTGAAGCTTAAATAAGCATGGAATAATACAACACAAAATGTACGTTAACAAAATGTATTGAAACAAAGAATAGGTACACAATATTTACAGTTAGTTTGGTATATTCTTGGGAAGACTGTTCCTGCATAATGGGTTGACTAAATCGCAGTCGGGCAGAGTCTCTGGATTCAATTTCTTAATCTCTACTATCTTCCCCGTCTTCCGGTACCAACCCATATTTATATGGTCGGTAGTCCGCTTATGTAAATTAGGTGTATCATACACAACAGAAACACAGCAAAGTATTTTCCTTATCGAAAATATTAAATTTAATCTATCAGCTTGAAATTAAAACTAAAACAAAAGCTGTATGGAAGATTTTTAATTTTCAAAAATTAATTTTAACCTACGGTATCGCGAATCTTTGGAAGATTCTCTCTCTCTCTCTCTCTCTATATATATATATATATATATATATATATATATATATATATATCACAAACCAAATAGATAGATAGATTAGATAGATCACTTCAAATATATAATATATATATATATATATATATATATATATATATATATATATATATATATATATATATATAAATAAATATATATATATATATATATATATTGAACAATAAAAATATTAAAAAAATTAAGATCTTCAGACACACTGGGTTGTAGATTAATATTCTTTCGTTTTTATTATTATTATTTCATTTAGATTACTCGACTAGTTTCGGCCAAAATGGCCATCATCAGAAGAAATATTTCTGCTTGCTGGTAGCTGTAAACTACAGAAATGAAAGTCTTGATGGAGAAAATGAACTTTTGTCTGTAGTTTTCATTTATATTTTATTTTTTTTATCTTTTTAACATGAATCTTTTAAAATTCCTTATGTTGGTCAAACAGTCTCTTTTAAGTTGTTATTTGAGATCACAAACAGATAGATAGATAGATAGATAGATAGATAGATAGATAGATAGATAGATAGATAGATAGATAGATCACCTCAATATATATATATATATATATATATATATCTGTGTGTGTGTGTGTATTGTGTGTACTACGGCAGCAATTTTTCATTGATGCATGTTTCATTAAACAATATAGACAAGTGTTGTCTATTTATTTTATGTAAATTCTTTACACATCGTCTGATAAGCTTAATAACATTATCATTAAACGAAGAAAGAAAATCACAATATTGATACATATTTTTAATCCTATCTAAGCTTTCGGCTTGCATAAGCCATTATCATAGATGACATTTCCATTACAATACATTAAATAAATAAACACCTGTCTATATTATTTACTGAAATATGCATCAATATATATATATATATATATATATATATATATATATATATATATATATATATCTGAACTGATAGATAGATAGATAGATAGATAGATAGATAGATCACCTCAAACTGTAAAAGACGTTTAGAATTAATGGAAGTTATAAAAAAAACAACCTTTAATAACATCAATTATGAGCACGGTCACAATGTACAAGCATTTGGAAGAACTGACCGAAGAAAGAAAGAAAGAAAGAAAGAAAGAAAGAAAGAAAGAAAGAAAGAAGGGAGAGAGAGAGAACGTGATAGAAAAGAGAGAAATAATAGAAATGAGAGAAATACGCTAAGGTTCACAAAAGAATCCATGACTGTGAGAAGAAAGAAAGAAAGAAAGAAAGAAAGAAAGAAAGAAAGAAAGAAAGAAAAGAAAATTATGTAAAAGGGAAAAATGGTTGCAATTCTGGGTAATAAAAGAAAGATATTGTTTAAAAAAAGAAAAAGGAAAAAAGGAAAAAAAAGAAGGAGAGAGTGTTTGAAAAGAACAAAGTGTAAAAAAGAAAAACTAAAAAGGAAAAAAATAGAATAAATGAGACTGTAATAAAAAAAGAAAAAAAGCAATATGAGCAAAGAGAAAAAATATGTGGGTAAAGAAAGAGCAGACAAAATTGAAAAGAATATGAAAAAAAAAACTGTTTTGACGGAAAAAAGAAAAGAAAATCTTGTCATGGTCTAAAATAGTTTCCGAATATGGCGGAAGTAAGCAGATACACGTAAAGCGCGGGAACAAGCTGGTAAGCATTGGCCGACATTGGCTTTTATTGTTTGCCTAATGTCAGTAGAAGTCAACGAAGATTTTAAGGCGCCTGTTTACTTTACAGACTCCCGACCCGCACTGTTTTCCTTAAGACAACCAAACTTTTTTTTTTTTGGTTCGTTGTCCCCCAGCAACCTTAACTCTAAATCCCAAAAACCCACTACGTCAAGTTTCAGTTGTTCTGTCTTGGTCGCTAAGGTTGTTGCTTATTCGACATGACACCGACCGCCGGCGTGGATACAAACGATTTTTTTTTCTTTCTTCTTTATTTGTTTTTTTTTGGTTTTTTGTATGTTGTTTGTTTTTCCTTTGTGTGTGTGTGTGTGTGCGCGCGTGTGTGTGTTCACTATCTGTTACAAACGTGTATTCAAAGTATTATAATCTGTTTTTCTAATACAGAATTACGATTTTCAAGGTAAAGGTATGCTAAAAGTGATATTGACCCAAATACTAAAACCTAATGAATAATAGTTATTTATTAAATTTAGTTTAATGCTACAAGGGACACAAAAAAAAAAGAAAAAAAAAAGACAGAGGTGGATAAGCGTTTGAACTGAAAGTAATAGTTAATTGGTACTAGGGCGTGTTCCCACGGTCGTTTCATTTCTGCAAATACCTTATGAAGGATAGGAAGGGTCGCAAACACACTGATACTTTTACGGCTTTAGCAGCAAGTCTTTTTTTAAAATCTTTTTTGTTCTTTTAATCAAATTTACCCCATTCAAGGCGGTAACGTTACTAAGAATGAAGGGGTTGAAAGCTGTGGAACAATTTAAAAAAAAAATAAACATTATTAAGGAGCGAGAACAATAGAAGAGTAATCCGGAAGACAGTAGATAGCTATTGACATTGCATTTAATTTATTGAAAATCAAATTTGGCTGAAAAGCATGGAACCGCAAAAGAGTTACACAAATTACGAGAAAAAAAAACTGTTAGCATAGAACATACGGTTACATCTGGCCAGTTAATTAAATATAAAACCAACTGTATTGTTGCATGCAGTGATTGACTTAAACCTGATGAGAAAAAAAAACACGATGAGTGGATAGATGAAACAAATGGTAACAAACGTAAAATCGTAAAAATTATAAAAAATATAATAAAAAAAAAGGTTTAAAAAATGCAAAATTAATGACAGGCCGACATACGATAAAATCGATTTCCAACCTGTCGGCAGTAAACAATCGTCGTCGACCTGCACAGTAAGAAATGGAAAAAGTTGAAGATTTCTAAGAGATATGACGAGGAAAGAAGAATTGGAGAATTCGACATTCACAGGATATATTAAAGACAAAAGGATCAGAGGAAAACATTGAGTAATCTAATTAATGAGTTTGTGGCAAATATATGGAGCGGAAAGGAGAGTTAATAACGACACAGGATAGGAATTTGCGAAAATCTATGATCACCTATATACCGAAACGACAGGGTATACAATAGAAGCCATGAATGACGTGATCAACGGTTCTCCAATATTTGCTAGCAAGACGAAAAATAAGATTCAAGCAAGCGTTTTGGGAGGTCCTAAACTAGAACTACCGACATAGTCTGGCCATAGGAAACACATCGGAAAATAAGCTTCTGGGAAGATTTTGGAAGGTCCTACATTAGAACTACCGACATAGCCTGGCCATAGGAAACACATCAAAAAATAAGCTTCAGGCAGGCGTTTTGTGAGGCCTTACACTAGAACTACCGACATAGCCTGGACATATGAAACTTATCGAAAAATAAGCTTCAGGCAATCTTTTTGGGAGGTTCTACACTAGAACTACCGACTTAGCTTGGCCATAGGAAACAAGTCGGAAAATAAGCTTCAGGCAAGTTTTTTGGGTGGTCCTATATTAGAACTACCGACATAGCCTGGCCATAGGAAACACATCGAAAAATAAGCTTCAGGCAAGCTTTTTGGGATGTCCTACACTAGAACTACCGACATAGCCTGGCTATAAGAAACACGTCGGAAAATAAGCTTCAGGCAAGCTTTTTGGGATGTCCTACACTAGAACTACCGACTTAGCTTGGCCATAGGAAACAAGTCGGAAAATAAGCTTCAGGCAAGCTTTTTGGGAGGTCCTACACTAGAACTACTGACATAGTCTGGACATAGGAAACACATCGAAAAATAAGCTTCAGGTAAGCTTTTTGGGTGGTCCTATATTAGAACGACCGACATAGCCTGGCCATAGGAAACACATCGAAAAATAAGCTTCAGGCAAGCTTTTTGGGATGTTCTACACTAAAACTACCGACATAGCCTGGCTATAGGAAACACGTCGGAAAATAAGCTTCGGGCAAGCTTTTTTTGAGGTCTTATACTAGAACTACCGACAGAGCCTAGACATAGGAAACATATCGAAAAATAAGCTTCAGGCAAGCTTTTTCGGAGATCATACATTAGAATTACCGACATAGCCTGTCCATAGGAAACACATCGAAAAATAAGCTTCAGGCAAGCTTTTTGGGATGTCCTACAGTAGAACTACCGACATGGCTTGACCATAGGAAACATATCGAAAAATAAGCTTCAGGCAAGCTTTATGTGAGGTTCTAAACTAGAACTACCGACTTAGCTTGGCCATAGGAAAAAAGTCGAAAATAAGCTTCAGACAAGCTTTTTTTTTGGGGAGGTTCTACACTAGAACTACTGACATAGTCTGGACATAGGAAACTTATCGAAAAATAAGCTTCAGGCAAGCTTTTTGGGAGGTCCTATACTAGGACTACCGACATAGCCTGGCCATAGGAAACACATCGAAAAATAAGTTTCAGGCAAGCTTTTTGGGAGGTCCTACACTATAACTACCGACATGGCTTGGCCATAGGAAACATATCGAAAAATAAACTTCAAGCAAGCTTTTTGGGATGTCCTACACTAGAACTACCGACGTAGCTTGACCATAGGAAACAAGTCGGAAAATACGTTTCAGACAAGCTTTTGGTGTGGGCAAGGTGTTGTCCTACTCTAGAACTACCGACTTAGCTTGGCCATAGGAAACAAGTCGGAAAATAAGCTTCAGGCAAGCTTTTTGGGAGGTCCTACACTAGAACTACCGACAGAGCCTAGACATAGGAAACATATCGAAAAATAAGCTTCAGGCAAGCTTTTTCGGAGATCATAGATTAGAATTACCGACATAGCCTGTCCATAGGAAACACATCGAAAAATAAGCTTCAGACAAGCTTTTTGGGAGGTCCTACACTAGAACTACCGAGATGGCTTGGCCATAGGAAACATATCGAAAAATAAGCTTCAGGCAAGCTTTTTGGGAGGTCCTACACTAGAACTACCGACTTAGCTTGGCCATAGGAAACAAGTCGGAAAATAAGCTTCAGGCAAGCTTTTTTGAGGTCTTATACTAGAACTACTGACATAGTCTGGACATCGGAAACTTATCGAAAAAATAAGCTTCAGACAAGCTTTTTGGGTGGTCCTATACTAGAACTACCGACATAGCCTGGCCATAGGAAACACATCGAAAATAAGCTTCAAGCAAGTTTTTTGGGACGTCCTACACTAGAACTACCGACGTAGCTTGGCCATAGGAAACAAGTCGGAAAATACGTTTCAGACAAGCTTTTGATGTGGGCAAGGTGTTGTCCTACTCTAGAACAACTGACATAGCCTGGCCATAGGAAACATAAGCTTCAGGCAATCTTTTTGAGAGGTTCTACACTAGAACTACCGACTTAGCTTGGCCATAGGAAACAAGTCGGAAAATAAGCTTCAGGCAAGCTTTTTGGGTGGTCCTATATCAGAACTACCGACATAGCCTGGCCATAGGAAACACATCGAAAAATAAGCTTCAGGCAAGCTTTTTGGGATGTCCTACACTAGAACTACCGACATAGCCTGGCTATAAGAAACACGTCGGAAAATAAGCTTCAGGCAAGCTTTTTTTGGGATGTCCTACACTAGAACTACTGACTTAGCTTGGCCATAGGGAAACAAGTCGGAAAATAAGCTTCAGGCAAGCTTTTTGGGAGGTCCTACACTAGAACTACTGACATAGTCTGGACATAGGAAACACATCGAAAAAATAAAGCTTCAGGTAAGCTTTTTGGGAGGTTCTACACTAGAACTACCGACTTAGCTTGGCCATAGGAAACAAGTCGGAAAATAAGCTTCAGGCAAGCTTTTGTGTGGTCCCATATTAGAACTACCGACATAGCCTGGCCATAGGAAACACATCGAAAAATAAGCTTCAGGCAAGCTTTTTGGGATGTTCTACACTAGAACTACCGACATAGCCTGGCTATAGGAAACACGTCGGAAAATAAGCTTCAGGCAAGGCTTTTTTGAGGTCTTATACTAGAACTACCGACATAGCCTGGCTATAGGAAACACGTCGGAAAATAAGCTTCAGGCAAGCTTTTTGGGTGGTCCTACACTAGAACTACTGACATAGTCTGGACATAGGAAACTTATCGAAAAATAAGCTTCAGGCAAGCTTTTTGGGTGGTCCTATATTAGAACTACCGACATAGCCTGGCCATAGGAAACACATCGAAAAATAAGCTTCAGGCAAGCTTTTTAGGATGTTCTACACTAGAACTACCGACATAGCCTGGCTATAGCAAACACGTCGGAAAATACGTTTCAGACAAGCTTTTGGTGTGGGCAAGGTGTTGTCCTACTCTAGAACTACCGACTTAGCTTGGCCATAGGAAACAAGTCGGAAAATAAGCTTCAGGCAAGCTTTTTGGGATGTCCTACAGTAGAACTACCGACATGGCTTGACCATAGGAAACATATCGAAAAATAAGCTTCAGGCAAGCTTTATGTGAGGTTCTAAACTAGAACTACCGACTTAGCTTGGCCATAGGAAACAAGTCGGAAAATAAGCTTCAGGCAAGCTTTTTTTGAGGTCTTATACTAGAACTACCGACATAGTCTGGACATCGGAAAC